GTTATAACTATTAATTACTTTAAATAATTAAATCAAATAGAATATATATTTTTTGGTAAAAAATGATGTTAAAAGATTTATAAAACCTTAAGATTTTTAAAACGTGACGTGTTCGGTAACTACATTAACATTCGAGAGATCATTATTGATGGATGAACTCTTACAAGCGGCCTGATAATCGCGCGTTTCATTGATATTGGTGAATTGTTCATCAAATTTAAGGATTGAATCTTTCATTGTTAATATTTGATAATATTAACTTATTAATTATTGTCCTTATAAAAAAATTATTGATAAATGACAAGACATTTTAGTGATTTTTTGATTTTTTTTTTTGTTTTGTCGTCTGGTATCTAGGGTTTCGCCCCGATTAATTCGGATCGACCAACGTCGCGTACTTAAAAATTGTGAGTGAGTCTTCCAACGAAAGTTCCTGTGTACGCAAGGTCTCGAACTCAAGACCTTACTTACATAAGATCTTAAATTCAAAATCTTACTTAAATTAAAACAAACCGTTTACTATTTGATCCAACCCCTCGTTGATTGTAATTTTCTGAACTTTGATAAAATAGATTGGGCCCGAGACCTTACTTACACAAGATCTTAAATTTAAAATCTTACTTAAATTGAAACAAATCGTTTACTACTTGATTTAACCCCTCATTTTGATTGTGATTTTCTGAACTTTGATAAAATAGATTGGGCCATCGAGGAATGTGGGAATCAGAATGTCAGCAACAATGGACCTGAAGTATTTAAAAAAAAAAAAAAAAAGAGCTTGAGGTGCCCTCATTGACTCAGAAAAGAGGGACGGCGTGACGGGTTGTTCTAGTAATTTAGGGGGCGTGGATTTGTGGTTCAAAAGTGGTGGGTATAATTATTCAGAAATCATTTTCCCAGGAGGCGTAGCACACGCGAACTGACCGTCTCCTTGACACGTGGCACCCGCTATCCTCCTTCCCGTGTTATTACCACGCAATCACCTAACTCCCCCCTCCACCCCCCCTCTCCCCCGTATATAAGATCCGCCTCCTCCCTTATTTTTTCTTCAACCCACGTTTTTTCATTTTTTTTCCGAAGAACTGAGAAATCCTTTGATCCTTCGAAATCCTCCATATTCATTCCAGAAAAAATGGCGAATGTTACTTTGACGGGGCTGTTGAAGAAGGCGGCGACCGAATTCCCCAACAGAACAGCTTTATCGGCTTCGGGAAAATTCGATTTCACGCATTCTCAATTGCAAGAGCTCGTCGATCACGCCGCCTCCCTCCTCGTCGCCTCCGGCATCAAGCCCGGTGATGTTGTTGCTCTCACTTTCCCTAACACCGTGGAGGTAAGGTTTTTTTTTTTTTTTTTTGTGTCTGGTTATGTCAGGGGCGGAGGCAGAAATTTTTTTAAGGGGGCAAAATACTAAAATTTTCAAAGTTTAGGAGAGGTTAGATAATTTTTCATAAACTAATTGCAAGATTTTCCAAATTTCAGGGGGGCGAGCGCCACCCCTCGCACCCCCCTGGCTCCGCCACTGGGTTATGTGCTTCAATTTCAATATGATTAGAGAGGACTCTGTTTGGTTGATGAGAAAATTAGGAGGAAAAATTCGTTCTTTTCATTTTCTGTTACCCTATGTTTTAGTAGTTGATAACTTCGTGGAAATCAAAAAAAACAAAAATATATATATATATATCGTCCACGCGTCGTCTCTAACTGAATTTTCTTTTTCTCTGAAAGTTTTAAATCGAAAATTTCTGTAATTTTATCTTTTTCCTCTCTTTTTTTACCCTAATTTTCTCAACAGCCAAACAAGAAAAATTCCTTCTTTTCTCTTGAACTTTAATTACGTAATTTTGACGTCTTTTTTTGGTGCCTTTAGTCCTCAAACGTTGAAAAAGACAACTGTCACCATCAGTCGCCGAACAAGTTCGGAAAATAAATTGTTCTCTGACGAAATTTTGGCTACATTTACCCTTTTTTTTTTTCCTTCATTTTCCGACGCTTTCTTAGTAACCAAACAATGAAAAATTGCAGTTCTCCACTTCAATCACTACAATTCATCCAGGATTTCTCAGCACAAAATTAATTGATTTTTTTTTTTTCATTTACAAATGTGTTCTCTCTTTTCTTTTACAGTTTGTGATCATGTTCTTGGCTGTAATTCGGTGCCGAGCCACAGCCGCGCCGCTAAATGCGGCCTACACGGCGGAGGAGTTCGAGTTCTACCTCTCGGACTCAGAGTCCAGGCTTCTCCTAGTCCCGACGGAAGGCATTCAGGCAGCTCAAGTCGCGGCATCCAACCTAAACATCCCCACCGTGTCCGCCGCTCTTCATGGTGGCGAGTCCAAAATCAGCCTTTCCTCAAATCCCGAGTCAAGTCCTGACTCAGTCCGGCAACTCGTAAATGACCCTGAAGACGTGTCACTGTTCCTCCACACTTCCGGGACCACGAGTCGGCCCAAGGGTGTTCCTCTGACTCAGCTTAATCTAGCCACCTCTGTTTTGAACATCAAGACAGTGTATAAACTCACTGAGTCTGACTCGACGGTGATCGTTCTTCCGCTGTTTCACGTTCACGGCCTGTTAGCGGGGTTGTTGAGTTCCCTTGTAAGCGGAGCTGCCGTGACGCTCCCAGCGGCCGGCAGATTCTCAGCTTCCACCTTTTGGTCCGATATGATCAATTACAACGCGACGTGGTACACGGCGGTTCCTACCATACACCAAATCGTATTGGATCGTCATACCAGCAAGCCGGAGCCGGTTTATCCCAAGCTGAGGTTTATCAGAAGTTGCAGTGCATCTCTGGCACCGAGTATATTGGCAAGGCTGGAGGAGGCCTTCGGAGCGCCGGTGCTCGAGGCGTACGCCATGACCGAGGCGGCTCATCTCATGGCGTCAAACCCATTACCCGAAGAAGGCCCGCATAAGGCTGGGTCTGTTGGGAAGCCGGTGGGTCAAGAAATGGGAATTCTGAACGAGCAAGGTGAAGTGCAACCCCCAAATGCTAATGGGGAGGTTTGCATCAGGGGATTGAACGTCACGAAGGGTTATAAGAACAATCCTGAGGCCAATAAATCAGCTTTCCAATTTGGTTGGTTTCATACTGGGGACCTTGGCTTTTTTGACTCTGATGGCTATTTGCATCTTGTTGGTCGCATCAAGGAACTCATCAATCGTGGAGGTATTCACCTACATTTTGCATGTCATTTTTCTGCAAATTTTTAATCAGACAGACATTGATGGATTCAGTACTAATATAAGAAGATTTGGTTTCTCAGGTGAAAAAATATCACCAATTGAAGTGGATGCAGTGCTTTTAGCTCATCCTGATGCTGCAGAGGCAGTTGCCTTTGGCGTTCCTGATGAGAAATATGGTGAAGAGGTGAGAAACCCATGTTTTAAATTTTTGTTTATTTGAGATACAAAAGCATCTCTGGCTGTGAATGTGATTTGTCTCATGCACTTTGTTTACTTGCAGATAAATTGTGCTGTAATTCCAAGGGAAGGATCGACTCTGAATGACGCTGAGCTATTGCAACACTGCAAGAAGAATCTTGCAAGTTTCAAGGTTCCCAAAAAAGTGTTCATCACTGATTTCCTCCCAAAGACTGCGACCGGAAAGATCCAGCGTAGAATTGTGGCAGAGCATTTCTTGTCTCAAATGTCTGCTGCCAAAGTCCCTAAATTTGGAGCTTAATCTAGAACGTACTGCTCCATGCCAATTATTTTTTTGACAGCATTATGTGTTGAAAATTTCATGAATTATACCTTGGTTCTAGACTCATCGATATTCATAATCATTGAATACATTACACATTGATCAATAAAGTAGGCACTGATTTGAGGTGAAAATTTTGCTTCATTTGTTGTTGAGTTTTTACTCTAATGCGAGATATTGGCTTTGTTTTGATTATTATGAACAATAAACAGACATAAACTGATGGTTTCTTAGGACTAAACCTTTTGCTTGAGAATAAAGGGCAACCTGGAGTCTCCCAGGATGTCCAATGGCTTAAAAGTTTGAATATTCATGTTGAGAGTCTCATCTTCAAATCCCTAAACTGATAATGTAGCGTATCATCAGATGAACGAAAGTAAAGGACAACCAGATCTAAAGCTTTCGAGTAAGAAAGGTGAATAGAGTCCGAGGCATGTAATTTCCCTGTCCCTTGATTGGCAATTAGTATTTGGTCTTGCACCCACAGCTTCGCCGGCTTTAGTGGGATGCACTTAAACTCATGGCTTCGCCTAGAGTTCAAAGCTGCAGTGTGCAGCTCCCTATTCCGCCCCTCTCACATTTCCCCCTGTTCAAAAAAAAAAAAAAATAGTATTTGGTCTTTTCCAATTAAAGAACTTTGCTTTGACTCAACATGGCAGAAGAAAATAACAAACCTTCTTTTCATATCTTGGTTATGTTTGACTGGATATATAAATATATGGGTGATTTATCATTTAACATCACTGATAAGTGATAACCCACAAGTTTTGAAGAGCAGAAAGTGAATTGTGGACAAAATCAACAATTTCTCCTCCAAATTCTCTGCTCCCTTCATTTACTCTCTCTCCACCTTGAAAGAAGGATCTGCTTTCTCCTTTTTACACTCCACAACCAGCATTCATCCTTTGCCCCCCAAACACACCTCCCCCCCCTCTTTTTTCCCTTCTCATTCTTTCACATCTTCCAAGATCCCTTCGTCATTGGTGGCAAAATGGTATGTTTCTTCTCTCTTCATTCTGTTCCTGTATCGTGCTGCTAAAAGCATTCATTAAGAAATGGTCCCTGTCGAATCAATTAAAAGAGGAATTCAACATTTCTGAATATCTTGTATTGTTGTAGTTTTTTTGCCGTTTCAAAACATTTGAGACAATTGTATGAAATGTTACTTGTCGAAGTGTTAGATGAAATGCTCCTGTCAATTGCATTGTTCTGTTTTCTACGCTCTAAAACAGTTTTTGGGGTAGGCGAATTCGTCTTCAGGAATGGCTGTGAATGATGACTGTAAGCTGAAGTTCCAGGAGCTAAAGGCAAAGAGAAGTTACAGATTCATTGTGTTCAAGATTGAGGAAAAAATCCAAAAGGTGGTGGTTGAGAAGTTGGGGGATCCAAGTGAAAGCTACGAAGATTTTACCGCCAGTTTGCCTCCTAATGAGTGTCGTTATGCTGTCTACGACTTCGATTTCACAACTAATGAAAATTGCCAGAAGAGCAAGATCTTCTTCGTTGCATGGTAATCAGCCTCACCACAAATGTCTTTGATTTTTTCACGAAAAAAAGTGTTTTGCATTTTAAACTGCAAAACATTAACCATTAAATTAAAAAAGAAAACCTCCTAATATTTAAAAGGACTCTTTCATCCAATGATTAATGTTGTACAATTTGAACCGTAAAATACTAATCTTTTTATTTTTTTTATTTGGTCCATCAAATGATGATGATTGACAGGTTATGCATCAAAGATCATAACCCTATTCTTATGTAAGGCAATGCATTTCTAATGAATGATCCTTAATGTTCATCAGGGCTCCAGATACCTCAAAGGTGAGGAGTAAAATGTTGTATGCAAGCTCCAAGGACAGGTTTAGAAGAGAACTGGATGGGGTTCAGGTTGAGCTGCAGGCAACGGACCCTAGTGAGATGAGTTTGGACATTGTCAAACTGCGAGCTCTCTGAACAATTTCATTTCCCACTGAAAGCACCCTCTTCTTCTCCGTGCATGGTTTTGGGGGCCCTTTTTCTACTCAAAATTGCTATCATCCAAAAAAAAAAAAAAATCTACCACCATTTATGTACCATTATTTGTTACCATTTCCATCGTATAACCTTTAAACATGTTGCCTTATTTCCAACTCAAAGTTGGCTGGCTTAAAAAGCAGTGTGCTGTGCATCATGACCCAGTTTCGTTTTGAGTAGAAATTTCCATTTTGGAATTAAGGGAAAGGTCGTGAGTGGGGAGATCTTTCAATTTCACCAATCCTTTATTATTATTTATTATCTCATTTATAATTTTATCCCCTTGATTTTAACTTGGGCTGATTTATATATTCTGTAAATGTAATGCCCTGCTTTTAAAGAAGGTGTTTGATTATTGATATCTTTAAATTTAGATTTAACCAAAAAAGAAGAAGAAGAAGAAGAAGCAAATTAATAGTTAAAAGAAATATGATTGGTATCATGTACCTAAAAATGATAGAAAATAATAGAGTTAGAATGCGTTTGGGCATTTTAAACTTAAAATTACAATTATCATGTATTATTATATGATTAATTTTATTGTCATATTATATATATTCATTAATTTAATATCTCTTTTACAATCCAATAAGTAATGTTTTGTTGTCTAAATTTCAAAACAATTTTCATTTTTTTTTTGTTATAATAATCCTCCTTCCTTTCGGCCCAAGTACTATAATAATTAACAAAAACAGAAAAACCAGTCTAAAAGAGCACTGATGAGCTAAATTCTACTCTAACAAATGTATTAGTCAGTTTAAGTAATATAATAATAAAAATAAAGTATCGTCTCACAGATATTGTAAATTAATTAAATATCAAAATTAACTAATTCTAATTTTATTTGAACAATTGAAATTAAATGATTTAAATAAAATAAATAATTAAACTAATTAAAGAAAAACTAAATTGATTTTAAATAACACTAAAAGTTAAAATTCTAATTTCACTATAATCAATTAATATATAATTTAGATTGTTATATTTTTAAGGTATTTATTATTTATGTAACAATAAGATTTTCTATTCTCTCTGATATATTTTCTCAAGTTATACCAAATATATTTTCACCTGTTAACCCACTATATTTCTATATGAATTTATATGCATTATATTTTGTGAAATTCTTTAGTTTACGTAAAAAATTAAGTTTACTTATTAATAATATTGCACGAATCATGTTAGTTCATTTCTGACTTTCATTCAATTCATGATATATATTATTAAAAGTTATTATATAAAATCTCCTCTAAATCTCAATTATACTTTTCAAATCAGTTTTAATGGTGGTTAATTATTAAAAAGTATTAAGAATAATAATATATACTTTACATAAAATAATAAATCTTGAAAATATAAAAATCATAACACTTTATATTAAATTGATTAGGTTACATTGTAACCTTAGATGACAAAATCAGTTCACAATTAAAGAAAAAAAAATCAATAATTTTATGATGAATATACGAGTTTCTAATATCATAAAATAAAATTAAAAAACAAGCAAAACCAATTTGGCATATAAAATGTTAAGTCTTGATCTCCTTTGGTTGTCGAATTTCTCTTACTGTCTCTCTTGGTCTCTTCCCAGAGCCGTAAAACTAATTTTTGAATAGGAATTTATAGAGTTTAAGAAATCTAATAGAAATGAAGTAGTACTTGGAACATAATAGAAAGCTTGAATTTTGGGCGCTGACGCATGGTGTCGACACAGAGCAGGAAATAGAAATCTTGATTCTGGACGCGTGACGCATAGTGTCGACACTTCGATTATGTGTCAACACCACACCCATGTCGGGTTTTTGGTTTCTTTTTGCAATTTCTTCAATGGTAAAATTGCAGATATGATCCTTAATCTTTTTTATTTTGAGCACTTAGATCCAAAACTTAATATTCACTCATTTAGATCCCCAAAAAAACACCTTTATTCTTGCAGTTCAATCCCTCAACTTTCAAAAGATATTTAATTAATCCCAAAACTCTTAGTATTATACAATCAAGTCTTTTTTCTGCACAAAAATGGAAAACCATATGAACTCTCATCAAATTCATCTAAATATTAATAATATCAAAGAAGAAGTTATACATTAATATGTATATAAATTTAATTTATCGAGCACAAAAACATGCTAATCCCAAATCTCCTTTTCCTTTGTTCTTGAGTCTATTGATGGTGTAGTAATGGGCTAATACAGGCTACAAAAAGAAAAAAAGGGTCACATGGCATTAAAAACAGGCGTTCAAAAAAAAAAAGTTCGGACCACAGGCAGAAATAATGTGGGCCTTGTAAGTTGTAAGGCTGTTAAAGTTGGGCTAACCCGAGTGGAAAGAAACCAGTCAAACCACCATGGAGTTCCCTGAGAAGTGAGAAAAAGCAAGCCTAAACTCCCTCAACTCCTTCACCTTGTGATGACTTTCCAGTTATCAAATTTGCGAGAGCAAATGGTGATTTGCAGACTGTTTCAGAAGTTGAGCTTAAACTGATAGCCCTGACATACACACATTGGAGGCTCAGATTCATGGTACTAATCAAAGTGTGGAAATGAAGGAACCTTACGCAAGGCATCTGTAACAGTTGGTGACAGACAATGGAACTGTTTTAGCTGCACAAAATTTATAGTTTTCACTGCCTTTACCCAAAGGTGGAAGGGACGGCATTGCCAAGAACCTCATTTTACGGGAAGATCATCAACTTCCTTCGAAGTTACTTGAACAAAAGCAAAAGCCAAAGAAGAAAGTAAGTAATCAAGTTGACAAGTTGGTTTTCCTCTAAATCTTTTTAATCCTTTTCTGTGTTACTGCACCTGTTACCAAATTTTCTTCGTGTTAAAAATATTGATGTGTTTGTTTCATATAAGGGGGGATGATGAATTACGAATCTCCTATTTTCATGCAAAGTAATATCCCAACAGGTACAGGTTTTCAGTTTTCTTCCTCACTAAATTGCTTAGCCTACAAAACAGAGACAACAAGAAAGTGAACAAAGCTTGCAAGTCATATTCTAAAACATGACTATGCCATATTGTGATCAAAGAACTTCACTAATTACGCAATTGTTTGTATACAATGTGAAAGAGTGGGCTTCAACACGCGTGAAACTGTATGTGCACTTTGGCATGCAGCATATACAAGCTTGGGATCAAAAAGATTGAGCAGAAAAACAAAGTGGGTGGGAGGAAGATGTATTAAATCGTATGTTTGTGATTTACAGTATGTTAGCTTTAACTCAATTATGATGAAAGCGCAAGTTCTGCCCATGCCAAAGAAGAGGCCTTGAGGTCAATGGACACAGATGTGTCAATCCTGCTCTCCAGTATGCTGCTTAATTCCTGCATAGATGGTCGCCTCATGGGTTCTGGATGAAAGCAGAGGTTTACCACTTCACAGATGACTTTGAGATCATCATATCCAAAATTTTTTAACTCAGGATCTACAATCTCAGACATTACTTCTGGCAATTCGATATAGTCCTTGGCCTGGAAGAATGTAACCATTAAGTTTTCCCAGTACACAATTAGTTAAAAAAAAATATAATTCCCGAAGTGATTGATCATTAAGATGAAAGTTGGTGAAATATCTGAAAGGTTGAGAAGGATGCTTACCCAATCCACCAAGCATCCTTTGTCCTTGCAGTATGGCGGTCTCCCACTTATTATTTCCAGCAGAAGTACGCCAAAAGCATAAACATTTCCTTGGATGTCCAGGTGGCGTTTCTCCATGGCATTAGGAAGAACACAAATGGCACCATTGCTGCCAACAGACCCGGAATTCCTTTCTGATCTAGCAAGAATTGTCTTCCAACTTTCAAAATCCACCAGCTGCAGCACAAGTAAAAAAAATTTTCTTAGAAAACAGCCCTCTTATGGTTTCTTAGTCATCTGTAGCAAGAAAGAATGAGACATAACACTTGCCTTGGGGGAAAAATCTTCAGTAAGATACACAGCACTGGAGTTTAACTCTGATATGGTAAATGGTGGATCAAGTTCTGTGTGAAGATACTTGAGTCCACGGGCAGTGCCTAGAATGATTTTCATACGCCTTGTCCACGATAATTGGCATCCTTCTCCATCTACATAAAAATTGATTAATCAGGTTTAAATCCAATGTAAAAACACAGGGAGAGAGAGAGAGAGAGAGAGAGAGAGAGAGATGGTTGGCTTACAATGGAGGTGCTCATACAGTGTCCCGTTTGATGCATATTCAAAAACAAGCATTCTTGTAAATGGAGTGCTCTCTCTACAATAACCAAGCAGCTTTCCAGCGTTCTCATGATCAAGTCTTGCCAAATCTGCCACCTGAATGGAAATTTTAAACCAATATTCAGAATTAGATTGCAATATTAGTTTTAAACAAGCAGTTTTTTTTGGTTCAACTCCTCTTTTGCAGGCAACTACCTCTCTTTGGAAGTAAAGCTCAAGATAGCCTGTCCAGTTTTCCTCTTTGATGCAGAGGGATATCACAGCAATTTCAGGCCCACCCTTAATGGTGCCTTTGTAGACCAAACTATCTGGAGAGGAGCCAATTATGTTGCTAAAGTCTTCACAGGCTACTTCAAGCTCTTGTCTGCTGAATTTATTAACATCCTTCAACATCTCAGAATCTGTGCAAACACACCAGCAAGTTAATTAATGTGAAAAGTTAATTTGGCATCAAGACAGCTAGTTAAGACTTAAGCATAGCCAACTAACCTATGTATACTGTCAAATGTTCCTTCTCACTTGCAGATTTCTTCCAAGGGATTATGATTGAAGGTTTGCGGTTACATCTGTGAAGGGCAGTAAATAGAGCAACAAGACACAGAGATCCAAACATGGTTCCAGTAGCTATTTCCAGAGCTGAAAGCCAGGTAGGTTTTGTTGAACTCTGATGCCTAGATGCATCTTCGGCAGGCTGGTGCTTTCGGTTGGGTCCTTGATGACTATTACCAGGTGGAGTACCACCTGTAAAAGCAATCACTGTCAACTATATAATCCACAACACCAAATTATCTTGGAAGCTACCAAAACCATCAAACTTCAATTGCAGAGTTTCAAAAACTTGGTTCAAACAGTTTGCTTAAAACCAGATTAAGCATGTGCGTATTTATGTCCTCCAGAGGTCTTTCCTTTTGGTCTTAATTGAGCAACATAAATCTCTGTTAAAATTTTAATCCATGCATGCTAAAGCAAAAATGTAAATTGTGTAATATATGTATATACCACATTGAGTGCTAGGACGCTGTTTAGGATCATTGTTTTGGAGGCAGTTTCCTTGAAAGCTTGTGCTGCATAAGAATAAAGTAAAAAGTATAAGCTTTATACAATAGTATAAGCTTTTCAGCATAAAGCAAGGCTGTGAATTCTATGATGAAGGCAAATAAAGAGTACCTTGGAAGATAATCCATACAGTTAGGTATGCTTCCAACAAAAAAGTTGTAGGAGAAATCTGCAACTTTTAACTGAGATGAGTGACAGAAACCAGTTGAATTTGTACTGGAGACAGACCTGTGTGATAAGAATTGTGAGAGACAAATTTAGGAGAAACAAGACAATCAAAAGTGCTGAACATGAGGTTAGTTTAGCCATTTAAATTTACAGGATCATGTAAAACTCCCATCTCTATGATCATATTCAATGTGACATTAGATTTTAGAGGTTCATTCATCTTCACCAGGAGAAAGTTCGTTTCATTTGTTGGGAAGCATCCAGACCAGCACGTAAAGTATGATACCACAGAAAGAAAAGTACCATCACATCTAAAAAATTAACTACCAGCTCTGTTATGCACTTTTGGTTTGGCCACCATTTTTGGTCCTTGGCATTATTCCTGGTTCAACATCCAGATTAGAGTGCTCTAATAGACATGACAACGTTGCCCTCGACACTCTAAATTAAACACGTGTCTTTGATTTGATCAAGATGGGGTTTGCAATGCACATTTTTCTTGTCTTCAATTAATCACCTAGAATTGTTTTGCATAAACCAATTGAGATTCCTTTCAAGAACAAACCACTTACATTCCATGTATCATAGATGAAAAATCTGAACTACTACCAGCAGGGAAGGGTCCTTCAAGCTTATTCCTATCAAGACGAAGTTCTTGAAGGAAACTCAAATCACTGAGCTCAACAGGAAGTCTCCCAGTCAACCCATTGGACTGAAGGTTTCTGCAATAACAAAAGGTAAGCAAAAGAAGCAAGTCATCACCCATAGAGAGTCTCTAAGTTGTCTAACATAAAAGTGAATTCCTTAAAACACAAAAAATCTTATAATCTTCTTTACATTTTGGTCAAGTTGCTTAAATTCCCAATCTCTGGAGGAATTGGACCTGTCAATTGATTCTTTCCCAAATCCAAGACTTGAAGGCATTTCAACATGCCCAGCTCTTTAGGGATTATCCCAATTAGGCTGTTCCCATGTAAGATTCTACAAAACCACAACATTCGAAATTGAGCATTAATCATCATATTCAAAGGAAGGGAATGATTGAACTAGGGATATACTTTTTATAAACAAAAGATAAACGTACAGCTCTTGTAAGTATCTAATTTGACCCAATTCTGGCGCAAGAAATCCCTTCAAAGATGCACCAGATATGTTTCTGCAACACAAAAGGGTAACAAGACATGATTATCCTGAAAATGAATCATATATTCCATATACATATCTACCAAATCACTGGAATCCAAGCTAACAACTTAGATTAGGGTCATCTTACATCTTCAAAACATGTTGCCGACCCCCATTACAAGAAATTCCAGACCAGTCACAGGGATTTGCATCTAGAGCATTCCAATTTGAAAAAACCAAATGTGGGTCTTCATATATGGCTTCCTTGAATGTTGTTAGAGCCGAAACTAAGCAAACCCAGAGCCAGAGATCAAATTAGCAAAATATTAAAACCCAAATGAATCAAGTAACTCCCTAGTGATTTTCAATTATCATTTATTTGAATGCTGGGATCATCAAGATCAACTTATAACAACAATACCACATTGATTGGTTGCCAAGAAAATCTGGAAAAGTAAACAAGTAACAAGAAAATAAGCACAAAGTACTCTACTTTGCCTAAAACTAATTAGCATAGAGCAAAAGGTAACAAGTATTTATGGTTTAAGCTTATCTTTCCCCACATTTTCTCAGCAACCAAACAAGATCTGAAAATGCAGGAGCAAACACGTACCTTCAGTTTCTTCAAAGGAAACGCAAGCCACAAAAAGAACTCCACAGACAACAAACAGATGCAGAAACAAAGTGTACGATGCCATCTTCTCTCTAAAGATTCCGCTCTCAAATTACTCAGTTTTCCCCAAGAATACACCACGCCACCCCACCCCAAAAGAAGAACTCATCAACCCAATACCGCACAAAGAAAATGCAAAAATGGGACGGCAAAGAAAGGGAAAAGGAGAAGCCTTTAACACTTGGGATAAATGGTTTTTTATTAGCAGAATGAAACTACAGAAAGCTCAAAACTTTGACACTGTAACCTACACTAATCTGTAATCTACCGAAATGGGGTTGGTTTTGCTAGCAGATTATACAAGAAAAAAAAAAAAGAAGAATAAAGAAAGAAAAGAGTAAGGAGATAAAGATCTAAACACAAAACTACTGGGTTTAAATCTAAAAGATTTGGCAACTACCCATGAAAGCAAATCACTTGGAGAGAGTAGAAACGTGAAGCTAACTGCAAAAGACGTGTGAGAAACTTGGATTCAAAGAGAAGTTTTGGTTTTGTTGCTCCTGAAAACAAAATCCAAAACAGAAGCGCATTCTGAGGGGCACAAAGAAGAGAGAAAGAAACATAGAGAAAATGTAATGTTGCTTCCTTATGATGTCAAGTTAAAAACATGGTGATGGCGGTTTTGCATTTTTTTTTTTTTTCATTTTTTCTGTTATTTTTAGTTTTTTTTTTTTTTTTCAGAATTAGTAATATTTTGGTGGGTGTTTTTAGGAAATTTGTTAATGGTAATGACTAATGATTGAATTAAAGAGAGATGACTGATTGGAACGATTAATTTCGTGAGATGAGAAAATCAAATCTCATGGGGACTGTGGTAAGGTGGATGCCGTACCATACTAAAAATTAATTCAATGAGATTTCGACGCTCAGCGTTCAGTCCAGTCCCCCTTCCTTCGTGTTTGCTGCTCTGTTTCAACTTCTTTTTTATAAACATTAACTCGTAATAATATAAATATTGTTACCTACTTAAATAATTCAATAATTTATTTTTTTAATGAAAAAAAAAAAATTAAAAGTTAAAGCCAAGAAAAAAAAGGAAAAAAAAAAAAAAAAAAAAAAATTTTATTTTTTATTGTATAATCAAAATAAATAATAATATGGTTCTCAAAAAATTAGAGATATATTGTACAATTAATAAGCATAATCGAGTGAAGAGAAAAAGTAGAAATAGGATGTTTTGGCATTTGAAATTTAGAATTTTCTGAGAAATTATTTTAATATTTTAATATTTTTTATTTGATTTATTAAAAATATTTTAATTTTTACATTATTATTTCTAATATTTTAATTATCAAAATCTTCACATTTTCCTTAATTGGATCAAGTGAAAATAGTGAATTACATTTATGGTTATATAGTACTCTCTTTGTTTATTTTTAATAATTTTAGAATTTGTTTAGCATACTATTTTGAAAATAATATTAGCAATTTTGTTCAAACGGCTAAAAATAGATATTTGATAAATTTATTTATTTTAAAATCACTAAAAATTAAATGTTTGGTAATTTTTTTTATTTAGCAAT